GGTGTGTGAGGGGATGGAAGGGAGTGTAAATGGTTCTTTAGGAAGGGATTGTGGGGGTGAATGGAAGGAAGAGGGTATGTGGGATGAACAGGAGGAAGGGGTGTGTGAGATTGGCTGGGTGCATGTGGGGAAGAATGGAAGGAAGGGAGTGTGCGGGGATGTATGGATGGAAGGGGTGCTGGGGTACTGAAGAAAGGAAGGGAGTGTCTGGATGGAAGGAAACAGGTGTGATGGATGGGTTTGTGGGGCCAGAAAGAAGGAAAGGTGTGTGGGGGGATGGATGAAAGGGTGTGTGGAGAGACAGATGCAAATATGTGTGGGAATGGCTTTTAGGAAGGGGTGTATGGGGTTGAAGGAAGGAAGGGGTGTGTAGGGATGAATAGAAGGAAGGAGAATGTGTGGAGATGGATGGAATGTGTGTGTGTGGACAGTTGGATGTGTTCAGGGAAGGATAGATGGAAGAGGATATGGGGGGATGGAAGGAAGGAAGAGGAAGTATGTGGATGGAAAGAGAGATGGAAGAGGTGGGGGGGATGGGAGGTAGTGGGTGTGGGGATAAGATGGATGGAAGGGAGGATGGTGGGACATAAAGAAGGAAGGGGATGTGTGGGGACGGATGGATGGAAGGGGGTGGGTGGAGACAGACAGCTGGAAATAGGTAAGTTCACCATTGAGGTTGTTGTGCACATGGCAGGAGAAGTTGCCAGCACCCCTTCACCCTAGCAGGGGAAACTCAAAGCTGGCGGCTTCCCCTCCCCACCTCGATGCTCTGCACTGAATTTGCACAGAAGCAGCCTCCCATTGACAACGCTTGTGTTGATCTAGGATGAGAAGGGTCTCGTCTAGATCTCAAGTCTAGACTGTTTGGAACATTTGGGGGGGCGAAAGGGGGATGAGATTTGGTGCCAAGTCCGTTTGGCACTTTTGGTCGGTGCTAAGGATGTTAAGAAGCAGGAAACTGACTAATTGTGTAGGAGATACAATTTGTATCAACTACACGATTAGCTGATATGGGGAGGTGCTCTGTCCTGGCTCGCCCCAGGTCCAGGAGCTACCCTGCAGCAGCTCTGCAGTTTAATGTAGTAGGAGCTGGGTGTGCAGGCAGCCCAGCTCTTACTACATTCAACTGCAGAGCTGCATTGGGGGTAGGTCTTAGTCCAGCAGCCCCTGACCGCAGGGGGTCCCAGATCCTTGATGGGAGCCCCTGCAGACCAGGGCTGCTGCCACGAAGAAGCCCCTGTCTGTGGTGACCAGGGCTGGTCACAAACAGAGGCTGCTCCAGCACTGCTTGCAGTGAGTCTGGGTCTGGGTCTACCGCAGGCAGAGGCTGCTTCGTGGCAGCCTCCCTTGCCTCTCCACCCTGGCACCACAGAGACGGTGCTAGGGGAACTGGCTTTTTAGTCAGCCACCCCCAGTACTGGCTCCTGCTTCCCTGCCACCTTGCAGAGGCAGCACGGGGGAGGGAAAGTGAGTAGTCGAGCAGTTGACTCAACTACCCGATAAGCCTAGGCCAGTGTTTCTCAACCAGTAGTACGAGTACCCTTAGTACTCAAGAGATGTCCGAGGGGTACGTCAACACAACTCAAATTTGGAGAAAACTGATCTTTTGTTTTAAGTCTTACAGCATTTTATTATTTTTGTACTTTTTACACCCAAAAATTTCATCCCCCACTCGGCTATGATTAAGATGTTTAAACAAATGTGTTGCAAAGGTAGAAAAAAAAGTTGTGTATCTGAAAACTGTAGGTACTGGGGGTACTTATACTTTTTCTTTGAAAAAGGGGCACTATATAAAAAAAGGTTGAGAAACACTGGCCTAGGCTCCTCAACTAGTCACTTACATCCTTAGTTGGTGCTGCCCATGACCGCAACTGTATAAATGGAAGCATACTATTTTTAACAGCGTGAGTAGCTGGGAGGGAAGGAGGCACATCCCCTCTCCAAATGAAGGCTGTTCAACTGTTTTAACAGGCTTGGCTCTTCCCAAGGGGTCAGCAGCTTAGAACCCGTTATGAGAGTGCCCCGAAAGGGCGATGCCTGTACATAAGCAGCTAGGTAATGTGCAGGTAAGTGTCACTCAAGAACCCACTGCAGTGCTCCTCAAGGGACTGAAAGTCGGCTGTTAGAAGGAGGCGGGTCACTGCTTTGATGTGGCCGAGTGGGGGCCCACTCAAGGGCTGTGTGTATGCTCATACAAATGCCAAGCTCCACTTCAGAATTTTCAAGTGTTTTACACCCACTCAAGGGCTGTGTGTATGCTCATACAAATGCCAAGCTCCACTTCAGAATTTTCAAGTGTTTTCCATTTACAGATAAGGAAACTGAGGCATAGAAAGGCAGACTTGCCCAAAGGTGCCCTGCAGCAGAATCAAGAAGAGAACCCAGGTGTCCCCAGAACAAGGTCTGCACTCTCCACTGGGCCACAGCTGGAGCCCAAGAGGACGTGTCCTTAATGGGAGGTCTAGCTGCTCTGGGCTTCATGCCTCATCTGATAGCTGGCAGATAAGGAGCTAAGCAGCAGGCTGGGAAGGCACAGAATGCTTGTGAGCTCAGTGATTTTGGGGGGGAATCCGTGTGTTAGTTTAACCCTGCTGGACGTGGCACAACTGAGGGCACAGTATTTCAAAAGAGCAGGATATTCCATCCCGCAAAACAAGTGAGATTTTGACTATTTTTCTATCCCTTGGCAGACCGAAAAGCCCAGTTTCCCAACTTTCCTCCAGATGAAATACCCTCCAAGTTGCTTACAATGGCACCGGACTAGTAGGCTGACGAAATGGCATTTCATAACCATCTTCTGAGCAGCTCCAGGGGGCAGGTGATCAGCCCAGATCCAGATGAGATTTTCCACAGTGCCGTTGCTCTTGTTGTCCTGAGGGGGCATGTGGCCAGTGTGCGAAATCTAGAGCAAGCTCCTTCCCTCATGCCCGCTGTCACTTGAAGCAAACCCAGGAGTCTGCCAGTCCCACCTGCCTGACCTGGCCGCTTCCCCAGCACAGCCCATTAGAGCTTTAACCCTTTGAGCACTGGTGCTGAGTCTTACCAGTAGGCAGGACAGTGTGAAAGCATGGCAGATGACTACCTCCTTCATGGCTACTCCTCACTAGCCACTGAGTGCCAGCCAGGGTCTCAAATGTTGGGAGCCTGACTCCAGGGGCCTCTCCAAGAAACCTCAAAGCCCACTGAGGAGCCGGGAGAAACTGGACTCCTCTATTTTAGGGTGTAAAGGGGATCTGAGCTTTGGAAGAATCCTGCTTTGATTTGTGGGTGCCAGTCACTTGGAATCCCAGCCTTGGGATGGCTGGGAAGCTATCGCCTGCTTCCATGTCAAGTATGTTCAGTGCTTAAAGAGCCCATGATGCGTCCTGCAGTGGGGACCGTCTACAAGGAGGCACTCCAACTCCTGCGACAGCTTTTGAACCTAGGGGCCCTTGTGTTTGTAAGATGGTCGTTTCAAATTCACCCTGTCCCCAGCACATGTGCTGCCCCCAAGGGCAAAATCAATTACACTTAGTCATCAAAGGGCTAAAGAGACTGTGGTTCAGAGTCCCTCCTGACATAGCTTTCAGCTGTGCTGTTTTCAGCAGAGGGGATTGAGCCATTCAATTCTCATTCATTTAGAGGGGATGCCTTGACACCCTTGGGCATCTTTGCAATGCTCAGCACTGGTGTTAAAAATAAACCGTAACTTAAAAAAAAGCCCTTGCTGGAGTATTTCTGGGATAATTATTATTTTTGAAGGATTCCACTGAAAACATTGGGCTCAATTAGTCTTTCACTTACACTAGTTTAAAACAGGATTAGATCTCAGCAGTGACACCTCTTGAGATATTACCATGATATCTGGCGTTTCTCCTGAAAGCCCCAGCTCCAGGAATCATGGGATTAGTTGAGAATTTCATATTCTTAAAAAAATAGTTTGATCTCTTCTTATTTTATTTCTTTATTACTTAGTTTTCCTCCACAGATCTCAAAGCATTTTACAACAGAGAGTCTTATCCCTACTTTACAGAAGGGAAAACTGAAGCACGGCAGGCCAGTAGCAGAGCTAGGAATAGAACCCAGACATCCTGAGTCCTAATCCAGTAGGATGGATTGCTTGGCTGCATGAAAAAAAAAATCTAAAAGAGCTGCAAAGTGTGAGTTCTACAGGCTCAAAACACAGAAGGCGAACAAACAAAAATCCCAAATTTCTCATTTAAAACAATGATGGTTTCAAAGCCAATATCATTATTTCTGAACCCTCCAAACTGTCAATACTGTATTTTAGCACCACAACATGCAGCCAGATTTTGAAAAGAAGTGAGTATACTGGGCTTAGATTGGGAGCTGTCTGAGACAGGGACAGTCTCTTGGTTATATGTTTGTACACTGCCTTGTACAATGTGACATCCTGGTCCATGACTGGGGGCTCTTAGGAGCCACAGCAGTACAAATAATTCATAGATTTATGGATTTCTAGGCCAGAAGGGACCATTAGATCATCTCTGCTGTCTTGTCTAACACAGGCCAGAGAATGTTGTTGAGTTAACCCTGCAAAGTTTCCAATCACTTGTGTTTGACTAAAGTATCTTCCAGAGAGGCAGCCAGCTTAGTGTGGAGATGGAGACTCTACCTCTGCCCTGGTGGGTTTGTTCCAATGCTTAATATCCTTCTCTGGGAAAAATGTGCTGCTTGTTTCTCAATGGAATGTGTCTGGCTTTAATTTCCAGTCACTGGTTCTGCCTCTTTCCAAGAGCTCTTTAGTACCCAGGATTTGTTCCCAGTGAACCATAACTAAGTCACCTCTTCCTCTTCTTTTGGATAAGCTAAACAGTCGTAACATCTCTCACTATCCAGCATTTTTTTCCTCAGGCCACATGTAACTTTTGCTGCTTTTCTCTGTACCCTCTTTGCTTTTTCCAACATCTTTTGTCTATGGAGAGCACCAGAGCTGGACATAGGATTTCTGATGATTGCAAATGAAGTCACTGGTAGTAAGTGAGAGGAAAATTGAGCCCAAGATAATAAAAGACAACCTAGTGAGCTGACCCTGTTGCTCTTTCTTCATGCAAATGTTGCAGCCTGGGGCTAGCCCTGAAGGTGAAAGTGAATAAAAACAATAGTGAAACTAACTAGAAATCCAGGCTTGAAACTGACCAGTCTCTTTTCCTAGATTGAAGTGCCAAGTACAAAATAAAGTTAACCATAGGACATCAATGATGAAATCAGATATAATAAACATATCTCCTCCCCCATCCCCGCAAGATTTAAGAATGCTCTACAAAAATGGAAAATGTAATCTTTCTTTAGATGACAGTATCCATTTAAGCACAGATCTGATGAACCTCCTCTTGCTTATTTCTTTTTAAAAACAACCCATCCCAAACACTTTTAAATTAATACAGTGTGGTTTAGTCCTAAAGGGTGAAATTCACCCTTGCTAATGAATCACTTAAATCCAACTGAGTGGAGCAGATGTCTTGTGCTGGATTTCTGCACCAAGGTGAATGTCGCCCACAAAACAGCTCTACTTGGCAGAAGTTTCCATTCTACTTGGACGGGTATCTCAGCTGGTGTAAACTGCCATAGCTCCATTTACATCTGCTGAGGATCAGAGTTTAAAATTGAAAAAGTTCTTAAAAACTTAACAAGTCCTAGACTCCCAGATCTCTTGTGGTGGGATGTTCATCTCATTGATTGTGATTGTGAGCGTGTGCGTGAGCGTGTGTGTGGATAAGGTAAGAGAAAGTTTAAAATCAGTTTAAAATTCCAAATATAATCCAGATGAAAAAATTTAGCATCCGAAGTGGAAAATCAACACATAAAAAGCCCATACTACTCAAAGGGTTAAATCTTGTTTTGCTATTTTTTTTGGTTCATCCAGGTACATATAGATATATAAATCTCTTGGTTTTTGTTTTAAATAAATTAAACTTGTTAAAGTCCCTTTAACTGATTTGTTTTGGTTGTTGGTTGTTTAAACAATCAAGTTACAGACATTAAAAGATACATTTAGATGCTTATCCCAGTTAGAAAAACGTGCTAAGAATTGGTTATTAAAAGACATTTTGAATTTATAGGTTTAAAATACATTACAAGACTGGTTTAGCGTTTGGTTTGTGTTAAAATCATATTATTAGCTGGTTAAAAGAAGATTTAAAATTACTTTTTTGTTTTGCTTTTTCCCCAACTGAGTTTAAGCATTAAAGGTACAGAGCTCAGCCCAGAGGTAGAACAGGGCCCCATGCTATGAAAAGTCGAGTCAGTTACAAAGCTGGTGAAAAGAACCTGGAATTCTAGGATTTGAATTACAGGGTGAAGTGTTGGCTCCATTATAGTCAACAGTTAAATGCCCTTCACTGTCTCAACTTGGCAAGACTGGTGGCATGGTTTAGGGGTAGGGCCCAGGAGTAGAACTTAGGACTTCTGGGTTCTATTCTGGGCTCTGTGGCTGAGGTCTCTGTGCCTCTCATTCCTCTTGGCCTTTTTTGACTATAAACTCTCTGTGAGGGGAATCATGTGTCCTGCAGTGCCTGGCACTGCTCTCAGTCAGGTTCCCTGGGAGCCAGTGAAAAATAACTCACAATCAAATCTGTCATTCTGACCTCTGCAGTGGAGGTGGGAGAACCTCCCTGTATCGTGCCTTCACCATTCTGTGGGAGAAATAGCAAACCCTCTCTGTCACTTGTACTGCCCCCCCCCCTTGTCTCTCTGAGTCACTGGCTCCATCTGTTTGCTGATCTGCAGTATTTAGTCTTCTGCAACTCACAAGTGCCTGGAATCCTAAAGAGTTAGGGTTGCTTAAAATAATTAGTAGCAATGAGTCCCACAGGCTAATTCCACCGACTTCCTCCAAGGGCCACAAGTCCCAGGTGCTAACCCTGATAACCTCTGTAGGAGCTCAGAGTCCCAGAGGCTAACCCCAGTCTCCCTTCATTTATAGGACACTAATACTGTTACATAAGTCTGTAACCCAAACCTAGGACATCTAGAGCTGGGGGACGGATGGGCTGCATCTGTCAGAACCAACCGAGCCATATAAAGTTCTCGGCGACCATTGAAATCATGCATCCACCTTTTGCCATTCAAATCCCACCACAAATGTTTAAATGAGCTCTCCAGACAAGATGCTTTCTAAAGAGGAGGTGGGGGAGAATGTTGGGACAGCAGTGGGAGAGCTCTGCACCTTTAAATCTTTTTTATTAATTAACCGCAATTAATTATCGTTAATTACCTTTGTCGAGTAGCCACTCATCTACTACTCGACCGAGCCGATACGGAATTCTCTGCCTAGCAATCGCCAGCCGCTCATTATCACTGTTCCCTTTAAAGAGTTTAGAGAAGAGATTTGCAGACGGTTAAAATAAAAAAAATAAAAAGATAAAATCAAATAAGAGAGAGAGAGACATATCACACCATCTGGAAGGTCAAAGGTCAGAGGTTAGCATGTTTAGAGAGGTCAAATAATGGTTAAGCGTTGGATCAAAATTAGCTGGCTTGGGGGCTGTTTGGTTGATGGTTTAGTCGATTTAGGCAGCACAGAGAGCTATTTACACAGTTTAGTAGAGTTTAGGTGTTAGGTGCGCGGCTGGATGTTAAGCGGATTTATGCAGCATTTAGGAGGAGAAAGCTCCAGTGCAGTTTGGGGTTTAAAACTGACTTTTATCAACCTTTAGACCCTACCAAATAAAATAAAATCCTGAAAACACAGTGACACATGGCCCTTTTGCCACCTCGGATAGAAGACAGGTTTTCTGTGCACCAGTTTCTCGTTCTAGTTTTCTTTGCCAAGCTTCTCTGCCCAACTCCCCCCGCACCCTTCCCCATTGCATAAGGCACACAAACAAGGTCTCATTCATCCCCCACCCCCATCCCATTTCACATTTGTCTCTGAAAATCCAGATTGGCAGTATCAAAAATGTCCCCAAAAGGCATTAAAACCTGGGCAAGCCTTCCCGTTTTGTTACAGCGAAGAAGAGGGGGATCTCTCTCTCACACCTGCATTACCAAGGAGGGTGTAGATGCTACTAGAGTGCAAGCTCAGTGTTTGTACAGTGCCCAGAACAACAGGGCCCCTGACCTCACCAAACCTTTGACTGGAATAGAAATGATCCTTGTGTTTTTTCCTTTACACTTCACACAAATGAGCTGGTTAGCTAATTTCCAAGTGACAGGGTTCTGGAATTGGCATCACACACAAACCACAGGTTAGGAGGAAAGGAAGCTGCTGTGTTACTGCAATAGTTGAGGCCAAGGGACAGAAGAGTTCAGCCTTGGGTAACACATCTGCCTTTTTCTAATCATTGGAATTCCCTGTTGGGTTGCAATGGGGGGCTCGTGCAAGTGCTTAGCACAGTGGGAGCACCAATCTCAGTCGGGGTCTCTAGGTACTACTGGAATGCAATCAAATAATTGTACAGGCGGGGAAACCAAAGCACAGAGTGATTATGGGGCAGATTTTCAAAAGTCAGTGTAAGCCACTGGCCTGGGTCTGATGTGCAGAGACAGTGAACTTGTTACAGCCCAGCTAGGGAGCTTTGGGTAGGTCTACACAGCAGCGTTATTTGAGAATAACTGATGTTATTCCAAAATAACACTGTGCGCATCTATACTACAAGCCTTTATGTCGACATCATGTGGAGCTGAAGGACTTCTTACTCCGACTCATGGTAACCCTCATTTCACAAGAAGTAAGGGAAGTCCAAGCAAGAGTGTTCTCCCTTTGACTCCTTGCTGTGTAGTTAACGCCAAAAGCCGAATTAAGCTATTTTGACTTAAGCTGTGCAATTGACGTAGCTGAAGTTGCATCGCTTTATTCGACTTTAGCCCTGCTGTGTAGATGTACTCTTTGGGTTTTTAGCTCAATCTGTACAGACTTTAGCTGATTTGATCTCTGGTGTCAGCATTGAGCAAGCCTCAGCACTCCAAAGAACTTGGCATGCTGGAAGCTGGTCGCTTGGGGAAATCAGGCCATTCAGCATCACAGCAGAAGCAGCTGTGAAACCTGGCCCCTACTGTGCATGACAAGTGAGGGCCTAGTGATTTGCCCCAGATCACAGAGTGTGTCTGTGGCAGAGGCTGGAATGGAGTCCTGGGCTCTCTGGAGAATCAGGTCATGTATGACTTGCTCAAGATCACACTGGAGAGCGGTGGTAGAATGGAACCCAGATGTCCTGAGCCCCAGGACCAAACCCTCAGAGACACCTTTCTTGGTGCTGGTGGAATGGCAGAAATGCTTGGGCTGTTCCTCTATGTCTGCGGGAGGGTAACAGTTTGCAAAGGAGGAGAGGCAGCATGAGCTGGGCAGTGAATTAGCTGGCAGAGGCATGGAGGTCACAGTGACATCTCCCCTCCGTGTCTGAGCACAGAGGTGAACAACTGCTGCTGGGTGGCATGGGAATGGGTTGGAGAGCCCAGCTGGGTTGTTGTGCACTGGCTGTACTGGATGGGCAGGCTGCGGTGGGGAGGAAGAAGCAGGCTGTGAGAGACACAGGAGGACGTGAAGGAGATGCTAAAGTGGGGAATCTGTAGGAATCAGTGAGAGCCAGGACTTTTGGATCCTCTCCCCAGCTCTCTGAGGGTGGAGCAGGGACGGCGGGGGGTTCCCTCCAGGCAGCGAGGAGCCTTGTGAAGCTGTGTCCCTCTCTGCAAGGGGAAGGGCTACAGAAACCCCTTCTGTGAGCTCTCTACTCTGAGGTCTCCCTATGCTCACCTCGCTATTCAGGATGCCATTTGGCCCCCTAATTAGGAGTGATTGGGGACTTTTTATACTCTCATTAGTGCTGGTATTAACGAGGCGATTAACATCTTTAATTAAAACCACATCTTCCCTGGGAAGTGACCTGGGTCGCTAATCAGCAGCCAGCACTCCTGCAGGCTGGGGGATTGCCATAGAAGCCACATGCTTGCTAAATGGGAGAGTGCTGGGGTACATGGAATTGCATGTGTGTGCATCACATGTTCTTCTGTCTGAATAGCAGGTCTTTCCTGAGTCCACTGCATGCCACTAGGTGCTGGTGTACATACAAGCTACTGTGTGCATTGCCATGCTTCTGAGTTCCAGGAGCTGGGAGGAGCCTCGATTCCTGATCCCAACCCCCACCAGCCCTTACCATTTGGGAGGCTGGTCTGTTCTCTAGCTTGCAGTTCTGGATCAGTAGATCAGTTCCCCAGTGATACCTTCTGTATGGGCCACATAGGTCCTGGGGCTATAAAACTATCTGCTGGGCACCCAGCTGTGTGCCCTGGCACAGGACAGCCATGCAAAAAAGCCAGCTCCAGTATTCTGGTGTCTACTTACATTTCCCCCTAGAAAGGCCTTGGGCTACAGGCAGCCTGTGACTGGTGGCTGGGGCATGGAAAAGGGAGAAGGCACTAACAGGAAGAGACACCCAGAAGCTATGGTGGCAAGGGGTGCCACGTAAGGACTTAGGTGGATGTCAGAAGATATGTAAGGATGGATGGCACAGGGATAGAAGGGAACGGATGAAGGGCTGTGTATGGGGATGGCTGGATGGCTGGCCAGGGCCAATGGGAATGCATGGCAGGATGGAGGCATGTATGTGGGAGAGATTGTGTGGATGGGGATGGACGGAGGATGCATGTGGGAGAAGACAGCGTGGATGGGGATGGATAGAGGGTTGCGTGTGGGACAGCGTGGATGGGGATGGGAGTAGATGAAGGATTGCAGATAGGGTGGATGGCTGGAGAGCTGCATGGGAGAGAAGAAATGGTGCACATGGGGATAGCGCAGCAAGACCACAGATGGGGATGGATGGAGAGGTGCATCAGTGATGGATGCAGGGTGCATGGGGGAACGGATGTGATGACAGCAAAAAAGCACCGAGAAATAGGGAAGAGGAGACTGTGCTGTTACGTGGGGCAGAGTCGTGTGTGTGTGTGTGTGTGTGTGTGTGTGTGTGTGTGTGTCCAGTTGTGCAGACACCAGTGTGCAGGGGATGTGCCTATAGCTGCAAGTTGCTGGTGTGTGCGTGCTCTCCTGGGAGGGGTATGGCATAGGACTGGCTGGGGAGAGGCAACCCAGGGATGGATATGGGCAGGGCTATCGGAGAGGGGGGAAGGGTGGCTGCAGGTGAGGCGTCTGCATGTCTGCACATCATGGCCAGCCTCTTGCTGCTAGGGATGGTGAAGTGTGTGCATGACACGTCCCTCCCGCCCACAGTGCTGCCTGCCAAGCTACTGATGGGCTTCAGGAGTGGCTAATCCAGGGAGGTATCCCCGCTCTGTCTGGCAGAAGGCGCACATGCCGTTGTGTGTGTGTGGGAGATACTGCTGTGTACCAGTGTGTAGGCCAAGTGTCACCATGCTGGGGTGGATGCTACAAGCAGCTCTCTGCTGCTGTGTGTTGTGGCAATGGCTGCAGGCACCTACAGGCCTGCATGCATGCGGGGTGCGGCGGGTGCAAAAGCACCCCCCCATGGTCCTCCAGGTAAGCATGCTCCAGTTGGCCAGGGGAAGGAGCGGGGCGCTGCCCCAGCCTCCTTCCCCCATGTTCTGGCCGGCCGGGAGAAGCCTGGGGCTGATTTCCCCACTTACTTGAGGGACCATGGGGGGTGCATTCACACTCTGTGGTCCACATTTACAAAAACGCACATCCACACAGAAATTCCTGTGTACGGGCCTGACCTGTCTATGTGTACACATGTGAGTCTGGAGACCTGTGGTATTAGTGTACATCTGTCTTTTCATGTCTGTTTTTGAATGAACTTGTGCGTGCACTTGGGTGCATTTGCATTAGTGTGTCTTTGCATAGCTGTGTGCAGGATGTGCATTCACATTCTTGGCTCTGCACATGTGTGAGTGTGTGTGTGTGTGTGTACACATACAGCCACAACCGTGAATGGATTTGAGGGCAGTGCTGACCAGGACTGGATCCCCTTCTCATCTTCCTCATGATGCTCCATCCTTGGCTACTAGCTCCGAGTCTTCACACCAGGTGAAGGTGCCAGCTGACACAGGGAACAGGCCCACAGGGAGAAAATCCCCCCCTCTTTCCCAGAAGACTGACCTCCT